GTAGAAATGGCCACCCACTCAGGGTTTCCTATACATTCTTATGGAGAATTCTTGCAAACTAAAAGTAATGGGGAAAAAACCAAGTAGGCAACAATCCTACTTTAGGTATATTACAGCCAAGAAATTTCTTCTTTTTTTTTTCCTTCACAAAACAGGTTTCTCTGGGTAGCCCTGGTTGTCCTGGAACTCACGCTGTAGACCAGGCTGGCCTCGAACTCAGAAATTCACCTACTTCAGCCTCCTGAGTGCTGGGATTAAAAGTATGTGCCACCAAATTTTATTTTTAAGAAACAATAAAGAACTTAATGTCTGACTCCTAGTCCTGTTCTCTGCATTCCTTAGCCTTGATTAGAAGCTGGTTTACTGGTTTGGCAATGGTACTCAGTGGTAGAGTGCTTGCCTAATATGTGAGGCCCACTGCAAAACAACTAGACATACTACTTTTTTCCTTATTATAGTATTTTTTACCTTATTATATTATATTAATATTTTTACCTTATTATAGTAACTTGTATAATCCAGTGGAAAATATATTCAAAGCTACTACAAATTGAGTAACCTGGAGGCAAAATATATGGCTTTTCTTTTGTTCTATTCCGAACAATTGGAACAACCTTCTGGCCCCGGGACCAGATTTGTTCGGGTGTACCAGTGATGCCCAAGTGCTCTGAGAACTGGTGGTGGTGGTGGTGGTGTCAGGGTACTGAGACTGAAGCCAGAGCCTCTGCATTTGAGGCTAAGTGCTGTAACACAGCCAAGGACCATAAAACGGATGAGACATTATTTTTATCACTGTATTATCATTTTGGTGCTGGGGCGAATATTAAACCCAGGTTTCATGCAGATGAAACATTCATGCTCGATCACTAACTTACACCTCATTCATTTCACTTATTTAATTCTTTAACAAAACAAAACAAGGCCTCATATTGTAGCACATGCTGGCCTCAAACATAAAGTAATTCTTCTGTTAGTTTCCCATTAAATGCTCAGATTGCAGGCATGAGCCACACATCTGGCCTTATTTTTATTTAAAAAAAAAAAGAAAGAATAAAGCCATCACATCTTTTACCAACTTCCGTGGAATATTTTGTTCATTTTTATGACTTCAATAACTTTTATTGGTGTTATTAACTATATTAGTTCTTTAACTTACTAGCTATTGCCCCTTACCTGACATATTCTTCCTTCTGACTAAATAAAACAGAAGCTACAAGAATTAAGTTCTTTCCAGCTTATATTACAAAGGTAACTTTTTTTTTAGGGTGAATTAATATTTTCTAAGATATTATTCTGAAGGGTAATATGTTTGATTTTGAGGGTGTGAGATGCAGATGTTCACCTAGTGGGAGTAAGGCCCTAGGTTCAGTCTCCATACCGGTAGAGATGGGGGATGGGGGAGAAAAGAGACACAGGTAGGAAGGCCAACGGGGTCAAGTTCAACGGTTGACGTGGCAGACCAATAAATCACACTCACTCCTGTGGCACTCTGGGAAGAGGGGAGCAGCCAGGCCAATGTAAGGCAGTCTCTGGTCACTTCTGGTCACTCTGGGCTGCTTGGAGCGTAAAAGCCTCCTTGAGCGAGATTCAGAAAAGAGGAGACAGGAGAGTGGTTCAATTCCAAAGGCATTTTGTTGAGCAATTTCCTCTTTTTAGGCATCCTCTAAGAGTGTGTGATTCACAGGACTCAAGGAAGTCTATTCTATGCTTGCCTGGCTTTAATTTAACCACCTTAAGCCACATCATTTAGCATGATCTGTGTAATAACTGAAGGAAAGGCATCTTCTCCAGGTGAGCTGGTTTCATCTGAGAAGTTAAATGATATAATTTACTGGATTTCAGAGGTGAATAAGGTTTTGGCGTTAGTCTAATGCCTTCTTTTTAAAATAGAGAACTGGAGGTCTAGCAAGATGGCTCAGAGGGTAAAGGCGCTTGCACCCTGAGTTAGACTCCCCAGGATTCACATGGTGGGAGAAGGAAGCCAGCTGTGGAAAGTAGGCCTCAGGCTTCCCCATGCTCCCTCCTGCTAACAAATTACACTATTGAGAAGAAGAAAATAAAAAATCGGGTAAGATTGAATTGTTGAGGATCCCTCAGCAAGATGTCAAAGTGTAGTGAAAGTTCTATACTGTTTCTGTTTGAGATGTTCTTGTTTAAGTTGGGAGCCTAACCCCAGGCCCTGGCATCCATCCCAGCCCCCTGGCCTGGGAGTTGCGTTGCTCTGGATTCCAAATCCCAGCATGCCAGGTCCTGACCCCTCCCCGGGAGGAGGGTTAGGACCATTTCCACAGGGTATTTAAGTGGGCTCCCAGAGAAGGAACACATGGTCCCGGGTTTGCATGTGCTCCCTGCATTTTTTGTCTTCCCTGCCATGCACTTAATAAAACATGGGCGTTTTAATTTGGTTTAATCTGATCTAATTGGATTTCTTTGCGCCGGCGGAGCAACTCACATTAGAACAGTTCTCAGGCGTTATAATTGATTTTAAGGTGCAACAGCCTTCCACAAAGGAGAGCAGCAAACTGCAGCTGCTTACCTTTACAAAATTAGAGGACCAGGGTTTCTTCTCAGCACCCACGGCCTACAGCTCACAACTGCCTCTAACTCCAGCTCAGGGAGACTGGATGCCTCCGGCCTCCTCAGGCGCCTAGACTCACGTACACTTAACCATACACATAATTAAAGATAATAAAAAAGTCTTTAAGTTGCTCTTTAAAACACATTTACTAAATTGCTTTTGAGGCAGGAGGATCATGAGTTTAAGGTCAACCTTGGCTAAAGTGATCCTCCTGCCTCAGTTTTCCTGCAAGCTGGGATTGTAAGTGTACATCACCACACTCAGCTCTGGGGGAAAGAAAGCATTTCTTATGAAAAAAAAAAAGCTGGGGGGCTGGAGAGATGGCTCAGTGGTTAAGAGCACTGACTGCTCTTCCAGAGGTCCTGTGTTCAATTCCCAGCACCCACATGGCAGCTCACAACTGTCTAAAGATCCAGTTGCAGGGGATCTGATACCTTCACACCAATGCACATAAAATAAAGTTAAATACACCATAAAAGAAAGAAAAGAAAAGAAAAGCTGGGCAGTGGTGGCATAGAACCTTAATCCTAGCACTTGGGAGGCAGAAGCAGGTGGATCTCTGTGAATTCAAGGCAGCCTGGTCTACAGAGCAAGTTCTAGGACAGTCAGAGTGACACACAGAGAAACCCTGTCTTGAAAACCACTCCCCCCCCCCAAAAAAAAACCTGGGGGGAAGCTACATTGAGTTTGTTGCCTTATGAAGTAGTTAAGAAGTGCAGTTTATGTAGTCTTATTAGTTTGCACGGATGTCACTTTTTTAAAAATCAAATTTTATTTTATATGTATGAGTGTGTGTTCCCCGTGCATGCAGTGCTCTTGGGAGCCAGAAGAGGGCATCATATCTGCTAGAACTGGAGCTACAGACAGTTGTGAGTCACCATATGGGTGCTGGGAATTGAACTCAGGTCCTCTGGAAGAGCAGCCAATGCTTTTAAAGGCTGAGTCATCTCTCTGGCCCTATCATGTCACTTTTTAATGGTTTTTCACACGTAATTAAAATATGTTAAGTATGAAGTTTGTATTTCTCATGGAATAGTACAAGGCTTATATCGAAAACACCACCTGATGGCAAGATTCCTTTCTTTTTGTCTGACTTATATTTTCTAGAAGAAATACAGGGCAAAGATTTTTATCTTTATATGAACCATCTCATTAAGAATTGCACACTTTTGAGCTGGATGTGGTGGCTCACACTACAGTCCTAGCACTTAAGAGACTAAGATGATATTTGAGGTTAGTCTGGGCTATACAGTGAGTTCCAGACTACCTGGGACGACAGTACGAGATCTTGTCTCAAAAAATGACAACCCCACCCATGCACACCCCCTAGACTTTAGAAGGGAGGATATAGCCAAAAATTGTGCTTGGCATAGCTTAGGTTCTAGTAAGTATTTGTTACGTGAATGACCCTAAGGAACATAAAAAGAGATTTCAAATTAATTGCCCTTATTCCAGGAACTTGGGAGACTGGCAGACTCACTGAGATAGTGATTTTAATAGGACTATATTTCTAATTGGGTTGACCATTTCTAACCAAATAAGTGTCTCTGAATTTCTTTTTGCTGGTACTGGGGATACGCAACTCCTGGCTTTGTGCTAGGGGAAGTGGGAGAAATACTCCTCATCACAATGTTAGTGGGTTGGCGATAATGTATGCAAAGTTCCCGGCAGGTAGGGCACTCAATAAAAAGTAGCAATTATTATTAAACATTTCCTATTATTAGATACATAGTAACCACTGATGACCAGCTCTTTTTACAATGCACTGGGAACTAGTTGTGTAAAAACACCACTCCTTGCAAACACAGTTAAGGCTCCGTCGACACCGAGAGATTAATGGTTTTATGGGAGATCGAGGAGATTTAAGCAATTGGAATTCGTACCGGATTGAACCAGTGCAATTTTGACGACGCAGTCCAAAGTTCACAAGCAACACCGACCAGAGAGAGGGGGATGGACTCCGATGGCTTTTTTAAGTCCCTTTATTGGACAGTTCCCAGTCCCCTGTTCGTCCAGTATCATCAACTCAGGCTCCAGAGGCTTCAGGAGCTCGTTGCCCGCCGCGGTAGGCACCCGGCCCCGTCCTTCCTCCCGCGCTCCCTCGCACACACTCACCCAGACCACAAGCTTATAAGGGAATCCCACACAGTCACCCCGAGGGTCCTAGACCAGAGACAAGAGCAAAGGCTGCTGGGAAGATGACCTTTCACCTCTCCTCTTACTTCAGTTCACCTAATTTGACTCCAGCAAATGAATCGACGAAGACAGCGGGAGGGCGGGACTTGGCACTGGCCACTCCGTGCCAATTGGATAGAATCGGTCCTGGGGGCGGGCCGTGCGAAGGGCGGTGTCCGTACCGGGTGGGCGGGAGCCGCGGGGGGCTGCGCTTGCGCCCTGGGTCGGCTACGCGTGCGCGGTGGGAGGAGCGCGCTTGTACCTTCTTTACCAGCCCAGGCTCTTCCAGCCCTGCACGGTGCCTTGCGCTGCTCACGTTTCATCTCCCGGTCGCGGAGAGTCGCTGCCGCTGCGGAGTGGGCGTTCGGTTTTCGGGTCGTCATGGCTGGCTACGAATACGTGAGCCCGGAGCAGCTGGCCGGCTTTGACAAGTACAAGGTAGAGCGGGAGGGCGGACGGCAGCCCCTCTCCCCCTCGCCCCGGCCGCGCCCTGGCGGCTGAGGGGCCGGCGCGGTCCGTGTCACCTTGTGCCTGCCGCGTGGCGCGCCGGCGGGCGTTGTTGCGGGGATCCTAGGGGGTCTCGCGGTCGGGGAGCGTGGGATCATCCTAGGCCCGCCGCCCGGTCTCTGCACCCCGCGGGAGACTGTCTTTTCCTTAGAGCACCCGGAGAGAGTGAGAGAATTCCTTTCTCTCCTTTTCCTTGTTACTTGTCAGGGCTGCGCTTTTTCAGCCTCTGTTAGAGAGGGGGCCGTTCCCTTCTGTGTCCTTTTGTTGGGCTTCGTTTGAATGAACTTCCCATCTGCCTGTCAGTGCTTCCAACTTCGGAGATCGGGATGGTCCCGTGGCGGATGCTGAGGGAGGGGAAGTGACTTCTCCAGGCCTTGATGCAGATGCGCCCCACCCTGCCCCTGGAAAGAGGCTTCCACTGTGGTTCGTGGCGCGGGCGCTGGCGTGGTGCTTGAGACATTATGCACTGGAAGGAACTGTGTAGTGCAAAGAGCGCGCGGGCTTTCGAGTACATAGAAACCCGATGCCAAAGTCAAGTTTCTGTTTGTTGAAACCCCACTCAGCCTCTCCTTTAGGCTAGAGCCCAAGTGAAAGTTTCTGTCGTGCTCAGCGGATTGTAAAGGGTTGCAAAGTGTCTGACACGTAATGATCCCCAGGAAATAATGGTGGTTTTCACCCTGTTTTAGCACTCCCACCAGGGAGCTACTGGCCATCTTGTTATCTTCGCCTGAAATAATGGGCATTAGTGTTTCATTTTTGCTAAGCCTTCCTGAGGGCAACCTGTTCCTTTACGAAATTAATGTGCTTGTCGAATGGACTAGAACGTCCAAATGATGAGGCGTGGCTGAAGCGTAGGGCTTGCTTACACTGCACAGTTGGCATCTAGCAAGCATTTGTGCAATGAATGAATATCTGGGGGTGGGAATCTTAATTTTGTTTAACTGAACCCCGAGGGGTTTTAAAAAGCCCTAGGGTATCCCTCTTTGAGGCAGCATCAGACTGTACCATTCTGAATTGAGGTGGTGACTTGTCTGCTGTACCTGGGGAGAAGTTCCAGAGCCTAACTTCGGTCGGGGCCTTATAACTTGTGTTGCAGAAAGCTTTTAATACCTCCTGTTGTGTCGTCAGCGCCCGCTCTTTCAGTATCTATGCTGCGCTCTATAAAGATTGACAGCTAAAATATTTTCTCCTTACTAGAGCCTGACATTTAGAGCAAGTTTTTATTTTTTTATTTTTATTTTTGGGTTTTTTGAGACAGGGTTTCTCTGTAGCTTTGGAGCCTGTCCTGGAACTAGCTCTTGTAGACCAGGTTGGCCTCAAACTCACAGAGATCCACTGCCTCTGCCTCCCAAGTGCTGGGATTAAAGGCATGCGCCACCACCACCCGACCTAGAGTAAGTTTTTATAAAAAAACAATTGTATTTATTTAGTGAACCCTTACCGCCTTCTCTAGGATTATATTTTCCGCTAGACAGGAGTCCTACTTTATCAGACATTTCAGTGTGGTTTTCAGTGGCGATCCCCTCCTCCCTTATCTGATTCAGTTCCTGTATCTGACAGTAGGTTTCCTATCATCCTGGAAAACAAAGGTCAGTTTAGCAAGCTGACCAGCGTTCATTCACCAAAATAGTTTGTTGATGTCATTTTAGTTATGAGGCTTTATTGGGGGAGGGAGGACCCCAAAATTAAATACAAATTTATTACCTTATCATTCTTCTAGTAGAAGGTTCTTTGCTCAATACCATACCACATTTATATTAAAAGAATGAATCAGAGGTATCCAAAGGAAAAAAAATTCGTGTGTTCAGTTTTGTTGGCCTGTGAATTGTACACAGAAATCTTTTCTTTCTCGTCCCCTTCTCATTGTGTGGTCTTCAGAGAGCACATGCCTCACAGCTTCATGAATTAAAACAGCACCCCCAAATGTGCAGTCAACATACTTGCAGAGATTTTTATTCTCTGCTGTGACCTTTTCTAATCCAGCCAGAAGATACAGAGGCGAAAAAATGATACTCCTAGAACAGCTGGTGGAAAAAAAAATTCTTTTGAACCAGTTGAATTTCTTTATCGTCCCTAGGGGCACATCTGAGAGCCACATGTGGAAACCTGGCACTTGCACAGATCGCCACCAAGAGGGGTGCACACAAGGAGATAGTTAGGTTTCTGTGATGAGAAAGGGGTGGTTTTCAGTACAGAAGAAGCCTGGGCTGGATTCTGCTTTATATACTCTCTGAGTACTCACGTCTTCTGGCAGGGTGTTTCACATAGTTCTGTTAGTTTCATACTTAGTTGAAAGTCTGCTTTCTGTGTTAGGACAGGAGCTCTAGGTGGGCCGGGCTGATGGCTGTCATGTTCAACGTGATCAGTGTCTCCATAGCATCCTGAGCCAAAGAGCTGCCCAGTAAGTACTGAAGGAGTGAAAATGGAGAGAAAAGAAAGAATTTTAAGTATGGTAAAGGGAGCTGTACATGTGGGTACCGGAAGGCTTCTTTTGAATTTTCACCTTGAATGTGAATGTGCCAATTTGAGAGTGCCATTGTTCCTAAGAGCAGCCTCAGACATTGTGGTGTAATATTCCAGCTTCGTGAGACTCAGCCTTTCCTCTACTCACTGCTTTCCCTTTCCTCCTTTCAGATGAGACTGACACTTACTGCTGAGGGACTCTATACCTTCATGGGTTATCTGTTGTTTGCCTAGTCAGATCTGTGGAAGCCCCATTTTAATTTATAGTGTTGCAGCTAGCGTCACATTGTATCCTTTCGCTTTAGTGGGGGAAATGAGTTAAATTTCCTTTAGTTTCAAGAGTAGAATTTCAGGGGTTGGCTCCTGCCGTTGGGTAGTTAATTAACCTGACCAATGACAACAGCCTGATACAAGGACTGTAGTTATTGTGAATTTATTACTATTACAGTGAAGAAGTTGTAAAGAGGAACAATCTTTGCTTCCTGATAGCAAAGCCAGCGAACCAGAATCCAAACTGGGCCATACCGTGTAATTTTATTTATTCAGCAGGCATTCATGGGAGCTTCACTCATCAGGCCCAGCACCGGGGTTACAATTTCAACTAAGCTGAAATTCCTGACTTCAGAGAGCCCAGTCGGGTGGCATAGGGGCAGGTAAACAAACCCTTATTAAATAAACAGTGAGTCCAGATTGTAAGTTCTAGGTACTGTGGTGAAGGACAGGGGCAGCATACACTGATGAAGACTTCAGAGGTGATGGAGGTGAAGGCAGGGGCAGTCTAGAAAGAGGAAAACTGAGTAGAGAGAGTGTCCACGTGGAAAGGCACTCTGTCAGATAAGGGCCAGGAGATGCGGGATGGCGGAGAGGTTTTCTGAGAACCACAAAATAAGGTGTTTGAGTATAATGGTGGCATGGCAGATGAAACTGGCAAGGAAGGCGGCTCCTGACAGAGCGGGAGTAATTTTGTTCTGTGGGTCAGTGTCTGTGGCCCACATTTATTGGCATTAGAATCACTTGGTGTCAGGGCAGTGATTACCCCCCACCAAGTGATTCTGATGCCAATAAATAACTACGTCCCTATCTAAGAAGTGTCGAAGGCCTGGGTATTACAGGAATAGAGGGACTAGAGATTGTCTATGTCCCAGTGTGCCTTAAGCTCATGATCTCTTCCCTTGGTGTCCAGAGTGTTGAGATGACAGGTCTGCAGCACCGTGTCCCCCAGGAGAGCAGAGATCTTCCTTCCTTCCTTCTTTCTTTTCTCCCTCTCTCCCTCCCTCCCTCCCTCCCTTCCTTCCCTCTCCCTCCCTCCCTCCCTCCCTTCCTTCTTTCCTTCCTTCCTTCCTTCCTTCCTTCCTTCCTTCCTTCCTTCCCTCTCCCTCCCTCCCTTCTCTCCATCCTTCCTCTATCCGTTCCTCCCTCGCTTTCTCCCTCCCTCCCTTCCTCTTTCTTCCCTCCCTCTCTCTCTCCCTCCCTCCCTCCCTCCTTTCCCCTTAACAGGCTTGCTCTGTAGCCCAGCTAACCTCCAACTGCTGACCTTCCTGCCTCAGCCTGCCTAGTTCTGGGATTACAGGCATGAGCTGCCACACAGCAAGGGCGACAAAATTCTAAAAATACAGGTCACAATTAGAAAGCTCATACTGAATTTATCTAGCAGATGCATTTAATTTGTTCTTACTTTGTTTTAAAAAGTAATCTTTCCCTCAAAAGTCCAGATTTCCAGATGTTTTTGAAAAATCAGAACATTGGGCAACACCATCCTTGAACTTCCTCTTTTATTCAGCCTTGGTGCTTAACTTCTTTAGAAAAGGTATATGGCTGGGTGTGATTGCACATGCCTGTAATCTCAGCACCAGAGAGGCAGAGGCAGATGAGTGCCTGTGAGTTAGAGGCCAGCCTGGTCTACGTAGTGATCCAGGCTAACCAAGGATACATAATGAGACTATGTCTTAAAAAAGGGAGGGGGTAGATGACAGGGTGAGGAGGAACATGCTTCTGTGACTCTGACATTTTTGAGGAGGTGACAGGAAGACCAAGGGCAGCTTCAGTACACAAGTTTCTGGCCATCCTAGAGACTGTGAGGCATAATCTTAAGCAGCAAGAAGAAAAATGAAAAAAAAAAACCAAAATCATAAATAAATATTAAATAGAGTATGTGCTCTCCAGTTTGCTGTGTCCCTGCTGGTCCACGCATCGCATATAGGTCTTCTCTGTTCGTTTGGCCTTTTCCATCCCCGATTTAAGATTGACAGAACATGGTAACTGATGAGTAGCTGGGGGTGGTGCTGGGAGTTGGGTAGGGGCACATAAAAGGTAAGGAGAAGCCAGGGTGACTCAGGATCTGGTAGGTAGGTGGACTAGGTTGAGGGAGGTAGCTCATATGAGGCAGGGTTTTGTGAAGCACTATATTATAATGCTTTAAAATATTTTTTTAAAGTTTCTTTATTATTATTTTTGTATGTAATGGGGTC